TGAGCATAACAAATAAAGAAGTGTAATGTAAACATTTACATTATTATTATGATTATTTAATATATAAAGACTATATATTATTGAATCACAAGATTAGATATACTTTAGTTGATCTAAAATATTGATGTGTTCAAATGCTCTTCAAAACACAACTGCAAGTCCATGAAACTTGTCTTTCTGTATTTGTGAATGAAGCGCCATCGCCTGGTTAAAACCTGAAATTTAAAATCTGGCAACGCCCTCTTGGAAATAGTGGGAGGGCTTAACATTCCTCGATACTGGTTTTAGTCAGGTCGTAGGCAGGAAGCTATAAACTGGAGTCTGAAATGAGGTGCTACATATGTAGCTAGGTAGCTAACTTGATCCAGCCACTCCTGGTCCTTTCATCAGAAGGGAAGTGAAAGAACGAGCAAGACCCATTGCTGGTATGATTACATAGCCGCGGGAAGTATGGGTGCTGCAGCACCCCCTGTTGGCGAGTGGTGTACATTTGAAAAACTGAGTGACCACCTAAATAAAAATGATTAAACTACATAAAATAGTTATGATTTTACTTAAAATAAAATTAGCTGTATACAGTAGCATATAATAGTCATTGTATATATTTGTATATATCAGGTGGCTTGAATTTATTTTCCAAATAAATAAAATCCGAGTCATCTAGGTCGTAGGTCGTGGGAGAGTGACGTAATTGACGCGACACACACACTGCAGAGTGACAACTTTCTAGAATGGCGCAAAAAAGGATTTTGGATTTTTTTCTCCAACAAACAACCCAATAAAAATAGTGGACCACCAGCTACTCCTCAGCCCACCACCTCTACAACTAGAGTAATATGACACAGAAGAGACTGACACATCTGACTTTTATGCATGTCCATTGTAACATTTTGGACAATGTGGATGTATCTGCTCTAATGAGGGTCTTCATTAGTGCCACCCCAGGCTACATTTGGAGTTTTGTGAAGCCCCAACACAAGGTAAGACGATATTTTTCCTTTAATGCTGCTGCCGCTGTGCAGTGTTTTGGCTTGTCAATCAGTTACAATTGAATTCATAGTTTTATTAATATTGTAAATAATATTTTCTGACTATTTTTAATGTTATGTAGGTTTGTAAGACCCATAGTGCAGCTGTTGCTAAGTGATGTAGGTCTATAATGGTTTATTAAGCCTAGTTAAGGCGAGACACCCCAGGTGAATAGGGTAATTTCTCCAGTTAATTACCTACAATAAGGCAATTGTTTCTTATATTACAAGTTTTCTCAATATGCAAATGAGCCATTATCTCATTAAATGTGCGCATGTTTTAACACATTTCAGGAACCGAAATCTGAACTTTGGATAAAGCCAGGTTCAAAATTCTCGTTTCATTTTGTAGTCATATTAGCATCTAAGGCTTTTACAGAAGGGATTTTGGATATCTCTTTTTATCACTCCATAAATCAGAAAATACTGTCAACAGCCCTAAAATATCAATTTTCGCCATGTTTCTAGGTATAAAATCTTATATAATTCAGGCTATGAATGATATATGAACAAACCCTTCAGTAAAAGCCTTCATAATATTGATAGGAATATAACTGGAAGGTTTGGTGTATGTAAGTGCAACTGAAATGGACATTTCGAACTCAGAGTAGGAGAAAAAACTCATTTTGAGAAAATGACCTTTAAAGATTGCAGTGAGGCGCTAGCTAAACCCTCCTGTTCTTTGGATGACTGCTTGCGCCTCGACGCACTCCGTGAAGGTATTTCATGTTCGGGGTCATTTGGTTTTTGTTTAATCTTGCTTCGTGCAAGTGACAATTGTTGTTGTCTTCTCTGTGAAAGTTTTTTTCGCCGTTCTTTTGCCATTTCGAGATTTAAATTTCTAGCGGAAAGCTAACCAGGAAGTGTTTTAGCACACCACGTGACGCATCTGAACGAATCACGTTGTCAGAAATTGACACCAGCCAATGAGATTTCGTTTCTTGGTTTAAGACCCTTTGTACTTTCACGATTGGTTGCTGATACAAAGGAAATGACCATATTTGGATCCGATGAGATTGTGCAGGAGAGACGGAGCTTTTCCAACAATGACATTGTGCAAACAGCGGTCGCGGTACTTTGTTACGTTAGAATGCTAACTTTTGGTGAATTTAGGAGAAATATACAGATGCAAATAGACAAACTATAGTAACATGAACACTTAAATGTGTATTTTGTACGTTTTCCTTCCAAAAGCCTGAAAGAAAACATGTTATGGAATCAAAATAGCACAACATCTCAAAATTGACCAGTGCATGAAAAACGATGTTTTTGCCTGCCGTGTCTCGCCTTTAACAAACAATTTATGCGGCTCGTATCGCTGACAGCCGGGCCCGGCCCGCCCTTTTTTTTTTTTTTTTAAGCGGCTCCCTCCCCACTTTTGGCAGCACCTCCTGAGCAAAATGACTTCCCGCGGCTATGTATGATTACAACCTGGTACAAAGTACACAGGCATCTTATTAAAGTTATCTTATCTTAGCTATCTCTTATATTTAGTGGAGGAAAACAATTATGACATCAGTTATGACATCACTTACGCGACTCTGGGATTTGTAGTCTTTCTAGTTGTGTATTTTTCATTGTCTTATATTTCAACAGTTTTACAACAAACTGTGACTTTTTTTACGTGGAAAATATTTTTTAAGATTGACAAACATCATTATGTGTAATTCATGGCACAATTCAACCGGGATCGAAAGATACGTTTTATCTCGCCATTGACTTCAATACATAATTTTTCAGAAATAAGGTCCCATGTGTTCCACCGGAAAGGGAGGGACTTTGCCTCTCTATTCCCCACTGCCACATTTTTTTAATTCAAAACAGTGAATTTCGCCAGCTGTTGACTAGTTTGAAACAACTACTAAACCACAAAGTATTACATGTTGTGTGTGCCTCGTCCATGAAAGCAGGCTAAATTAGCTAACTAGCTAAATTGCTAAGCTGAAAGACTGGTTTGTTTGATATCCACATTAAGCTGAGAAGCTAACAGGGATGTACAAAGTTAATAAAGTACATACATATACTTACATGATTCAAAATCCACGAGTATTCATTTTAGACGAGGGTCCATGCTTTCTTCTCTTCAATCGTCTGTGACTGCTTTTTTTCAAATGTCTGTACTGTGCGCAATCTCATCTGACGTCATCAGGGGCGTCGCCCACCTTTACTCACATTGCCCTGTACATTTTACTAGCTTTTCACAGGTTGTAGGTCAACACATTAATTTAGTTAACATTTACTTTGTGCTATGATTTAACATTACTTATCAAAATGAAGATACAAAATTACTTGCAAATTCAAGTAACACATTAAATAAAAGGATAGATTTTGAGTAAAAGAAAATTATTAGTAATTTCTTGTAGGATTTAAACACATAATCACAGTATTATTTACTAATTTTTATCAGTGTAGGAAAACCATCTGATGGTTTAAAAATGTAAATTGCCTCTATTGTTTAAGGTATTTTTTTCATAGATGTAATAGTGTGATTAAATCTATAATGTGATTTACCTTTACAAAGCCTGTTTTCAGACACTATGCTTTTGTCTCCTCCAGCGATCGTAATATCTTAGTTAGTTAGAGGAGTCATCAGCATACATATCCCAATACAAATCCTTGTATTTAAGAATTTTCTCTGAAAATGGTTCCACTGCCAAGATGAGAAGAATCCCTCGTGGAACTTTGCGCCTCTAGAGATAACTTCACAGTTTAGGGTCACACCCTGTCAGAGGAAACTGGGAGGAGGGTTTGCCAGCACAGAGCAGGACGGTAGAGGGATGTTCACGTCAGGGAGTGAGCTGTGAAAAGGGTCAGAGTGAAGTGGGAAATGTGAGGTGTTGAGGAAAGGACAGCTGTGGTAAATGTTTCAGGGCTGTGCCAAGGGGAATACATGATAAAGCACTGAAATGACCAGAGCCTAAGACTGAGCGGTCAAAAGGCCAGATTAAATAACATACTTTATTTGATGTTTTATGGTTTACAAAGGTCCTGTTGGTATATGTACTCTACACACCAGCAATGAAACACATGAGCCCATCCATTTTTGTTTATTACACACAGTTAAGCTCACACACACTATTTTATGAACATACAGGTGCACCTACTGAATTAAAAACAGAACAAATTAAGCAAAAACCATAAAGCAGATTCAGATTCGGGTACTCCCCCTATTAATATACATGTAAAATGTCAGTACAGTAAAGACTAGAGATACCAATCAGACAGTTTCTACATTGCTGTTACAGCCCATGTGCATGGTAGATTAACTATTATTTTCCACTACGGTTTTTAATCAATGCGCTATAGCTTATTGGTCTATATCAATTAAAACATTATTTATCTCATACACAAAATCACTGTCCCATTCAGTCAGACAACCAACGTTTCAAATGTTTATTAGGCTACAGCCTCATCACTCCTCGCAAATATATTTGACATAGTAATATTATCAAAAGCTCATAGATAGTAATTGTATTTAAATTATTCTCAAAAATGTATGTTATTCATATTCACTAAAATGATGTGTAGCCGAAGGCTCTGGTGGTCCCTTCCAACCGATTTAGGAGACGTAAGTCTTAATCAAACACTAAGGAAGGAGCCACATTAAGTACGTATTCTTTGATTTTAGATAAAAAATGCATCTTTATTAAAGTTTTGATGCACTTCAGATCAAAATTATTCTGTGAGAGGCTTTCATACATGACCCAGATTTCCAGCACAAGAGCAATGCAGAGCGAAGCCTTTATTTCCTTTAAAAGTGATCTTCAGTCCTGTGCCATTCAGGGCTCAATTCATGCATACTTTCATATGTATAACAGAAATGAATGATAACTTGAACCAAAAAGCAGATAAATAATTCACACATCTGCACAATTGATTGTTTCAAACTAATGTTCTAGATCTATAAAATACCATGCTTTAGGTATATTATTGGAATTTCCCTTGAAATAAAAACAACCTTTTTGTTTTTAGGATCACCACCACCGTGGCCTGCAACATGGATCTGACCAAGTATCCCATGGACAAACAGACCTGCACACTACAACTGGAGAGCTGTAAGGACACTTCATACTTAATAAAGAAAATCAGCTCTGTGCAGCTTCAAGCCTTGGCTGGGACTTGGTAGGTGGGTGTGATGTCAAATGAATCATATCAAACCCGAGGATCAAACAGATCACTTTCTCTCATCTTCTAAACTGCTGCTGTGTGTGTGCTTTGTGTGTGTGTGTGCTTTGTGTGTGTGTGTGTGTGTGCTTTGTGTGTGTGTGTGTGTGTGTGTGTGTGTGTGTGTGTGTGTGTGTGTGTGTGTGTGTGTGTGTGTGTGTGTGTGTGATGTCACACAGCAGACAAAAACTGCAGGGTGCAATTCCAGTCATGATGTATTCTCCTGTGTTGGTTAGTCAGCCATAAATTACTGTCATACGAACATGAATATCTACCCACAGCACTGAGACTGCTCTTGTAAAGGTCTTTAATGACATCCACTTAAACACAGACAGTGGCAGAACTTCAGTGTTAGTATTATTAGATCTCAGTGCTGCGTTTGACACTGTTGACCACAGCATATTACTAGACCGACTGGAAAACTGGGTGGGACTTTCGGAAACAGTTCTAAATTGGTTTGAATCCTACTTAAAGGACAGAAACAACTTTGTTTCTATAGGTAAATACACATCTGAGTTGACAAATATGACATGTGGGGTTCCTCAAGGCTCCATCTTGGGGCCTCTTCTCTTTAACATCTACATGCTACCACTGGCTCAGATAATGAAAAACAACTAAATAAGTTACCATAGCTATGCGGATGACACACACATTTACGTAACAATTTCACCAGGAGACTATGCTCCAATTCAAACACTGAGTAAGTGCATTGAACAAATCAATGACTGGATGTGTCAGAACTTTCTCCAATTAAACAAAGATAAAACTGAGGTAATGGTTTTTGGAGCCAAGGCAGAACGTATAAAAGTTAGCATTGAGCTTCAGTCTGCAATGTTCAAAACAACAGATAAAGCCAGAAATCTAGGTGTAGTCATGGACTCTGACCTGAGTTTCAATAGTCACATTAAAACAGTTACTAAATCAGCCTACTATCACCTAAAGAATATATCTAGGATTAAAATACTAATGTCACAGCAGGATTTGGAAAAACTTGTCCATGCTTTTATCTTCAGTAGACTGGACTACTGCAATGGTGTCTTCACAGGTCTCACTAAAAAATCTATTAGGAAGCTGCAGCTGATTCAGAACGCCACTGCTCGAGTCCTCACTAACACTAAGAAAGTGGATCACATCACTCCTGTTCTGAAGTCTTTACACTGGCTTCCTGTGTGTCAAAGAATAGATTTCAAAATACTGCTGCTGGTTTATAAAGCACTGAATGGTTTAGGCCCAAATTACATTTCTGACCTCCTGCTAAATTATGAACCATCCAGATCTCTCAGGTCTTCAGGGACTGGTCAGCTTTCTGTCCCCAGAGTCAGAACTAAACATGGTAAAGCAGCGTTCAGTTATTATGCTCCAAATATCTGGAACAAACTCCCAGAAACCTGCAGGTCCGCTGCAACTCTGACTACTTTTAAATCCAGGCTGAAGACTTTTCTTTTTGTCGCTGCTTTTAATTGAACTATTCATATCTTAGACTGCCCTGTAACTTTTATCCATGTATTTTTTCTTTTAATGTTTTTAATTTAAACGTAATTAAACTCCATGACATTTATGAGAGGGACTGATCGAAAGTAGGATATTTGGGATATCCGTCGTAGCCAGGGTTTACGATCAGTTTTTGGGTGATTTGTACTGAGGAACAAGTATCACATCACAGACGGGTGAAAAATAGTGTTTTGGTAACACGGGGTGTTCAGGTAACACTTAAAGACTTTGTTATGGAACGCAAAGCAGAGTAGGGGGCTAGTACACCCTCCTGAGGGTCCGATTGTGGATGTCATGCAAGCAAAACATGGTGAAAACAGTCTGTCTAAATAAAAAATCTGGACGGAAATGTTCGGATTTCTAAAGGGAGGTTCTTTGAGTAAATTAAAAATCAAGAACCTAAAGAATAAATTACAAGAACATGAAGATGGAATGAAGGGTAAAAATAAAGAAGGCTTTCAATGCTCGGTGAGATGTACAGTGTCTAAATTGTTTAAAGTTAAACGTAATTAAACTCCATGACATTTATGAGAGGGACTGCTCGAAAGTAGGATATTTGGGATATCCGTCGTAGCCAGGGTTTACGATCAGTTTTTGGGTGATTTGTACTGAGGAACAAGTATCACATCACCGACGGGTGAAAAATAGTGTTTTGGTAACACGGGGTGTTCAGGTAACACTTAAAGACTTTGTTATGGAACGCAAAGCAGAGTAGGGGGCTAGTACACCCTCCTGAGGGTCCGATTGTGGATGTCATGCGAGCATAACATGGTGAAAACAATCAGTATAAATTAACAATCGGGATGGACATTTTCGGATTTCCAAAGGGAGGTTCTGTGAATACATTAAAAATCAAGAACCGAAATAATTGAACTATTCATATCTTAGACTGCACTGTAACTTTTATCTTTTAATGTTTATTTTATTAGCTTTTCTTTTTAATGACTGATTTTAAATGCCATTTTCCTAATGTCTTTCATTTTTTGTTTTTCTTTTAATGTTTCTTTTAATATATGTTATGCCTTTGTCTGAATGTCTTTCATTTTTGTAAAGCACCTTGAATTGCCTGGTGCTGAAAGGTGCTATATAAATAGCCTTGCCTTGCCTTGCCTTGCCTTGCCTTGCCTTGCCTTGCCTTGCCTTGCCTTGCCTTGCCTTGCCTTATCTTATCTTATCTTATCTTATCCTTCATCTGGGATAGTTGAACAGGGAAATATGCCAAATTCTTGCCCAGAGTAAGATGAGAAGATCATTAGCTCTCCTGTCTTTCTTCTTAGTACGGAAGAGTGTATGGGTCAGGTATAAGGAGAAAGAAATGAGAGGAGGAATATGTTTTAACTTATTTTGAATTGCAAGACTAAAGTTGAAAGGTCTAAAATAGAATTGTAGTGAATAAAGTCAAAATGTTGAGGATAAAGTCAACCTTTTGGAATTGCACGTACGCAACTACTTTCATTTACTTTCAACATGTTGTCATGTTACAGCTAGAGTGATGACCCATTAGCTTAGCATTATAGGCTAAATAGCTAGGCAAGCACTTTGCCTTTCTCCAGCCTTTTCGCTAAGCTAAGCTAGCTCTATTGCCATAGTAGATAAAGGTTCCCTGTGGAGTTAGTGATCATTAAATTACCATTAAGAAGCATAATGTTTGTTACCCATAAAGGATATCAATGCACTCTTGGGAGCATTACAAAAAACTGGTTTTGCAAATATTTATCGAATCAAGAACGACAACTAATACTTGTTTAGATGTCACAAATACACACATGTGATTTAGTGAGGAACCAACTGGTATAAACTGAGTTTATTCACAACACAATTCAGGGCACCAGAGTGAAATCAGCTAACAAAAAAGTAAAAAACTGATCCTTTACTGATCCGTACTTTGCATAGCAACTCCCATAAGTCTTTGGGCAGCATATTTACAAATCCTCTTAACATTTTAATATCTTAAATATCCAAACCTCTGACAGTAGGCTTAATGTGTTGAGAATCATTGATGTTGAAGAATATTTGTCAAATGTTGGAATGGTTTCAATTGGCAATGCAGTGGCAGTTGGTTTAAAATCAAGATTAAATAACATGGCAAGGTATGTTTTTATTTGGCTGTCAGCTGATGGTAGGAAGGAAAAAAGCCTTCCTTCCACAGCCTTCCTTGCTCATCTGGCTTTTGCTCCGTGCTATTAGATAACAGCCAGCCAGGCTAAGCTAAGTCTGATCCCTGCCAGAAGCCCACCAGGACCTCTGTGCCAAATAAAACATGTAACGGCAGCTCCAGTGCCACTTAGCAGACAAAAAGACATCTGGAGGTTAAAGTTAGGTAACAGAGAGGATGATGGATCCTTCCTCCGCTCCTTTAATAATTCCAGGCTAAATATCTGCATCTATCTCCCTCTCTTCTCCCCCTGTCTCACAATCTCTCCCTCATCCTGCTGTTCTCTCCGCTGTGTTGTCTCCTCTCTTTCAATTCCTACCCTCCCTCTTGCTTTATGAAGATGTATATAAATGGATTTACTTCTTTTAATGTTGTGCCAAAAGTGGATCCTCTGCACAGGAGGAAGGTTTAAAGAAAGCGTCGTTGTGGGAGGGTGTGCGGCATTTAGATCGGGATTGCGGTTAAATATCTAGTGCCTACTGACAGCAGAAAAAGTCAGAAGATAGTCACAGTCTTTTGTGGTCTGTGATGTTATGTAACTTTGAGTGGGGGCTCTGATACATGCTTTGTATTTGTACTGAAATGTCAGAGCTTTAGGTAAGGGAAATAATGAGTACAATGAGAGAGAACATTGTGAATTAACAGGACCTTTCAGCATCAAAGTCACCGTCACCCTTCATTAAGCGACGTTGCTTTCAGCACAGTGGCTCACCCTGTCAATAATACATGACTCCATATGGGTTTTAATGGGAAGATAAATAGTAAAATAATGAGCATGCCATGTAAAACAGATCATAGACATGTATTCAAGATTCAGCGTACTGCACTTCCTCTTCTTATTCTCTTGCTCCCTCTGCAGAAAAATGAGAAAAATGCACCACAGAGGATAATAATCACACCTTTCTGTCCTAATCACCACTTCTTATTAATTGATATTATATTTATGCTAAGTGTGAAATTGCTTTCAATAGCACAATGATGTTTGACCAGATTCATTTTACATGGCTTCTTATTTGGGTTATCGGGCTCTCTGGAGCCCGGTGCAATATGCATGATTAGTCTGCCATGATACCAGAGTTAAGCTCTTCATCAGCACATTTTGCTTTGAAGTGAACATGAACACCACAAATGCATTTCCATTAGCAAATCCTCTACGTCAGACTGGGTTAGGGTGAATAATGGAATAATAGTCTGTTTGCACTGGGACTGTAATTACATGAAACCTGATTATTCTTTTTCAAAGTGTTGTGTTGTTTTAATGGCAAATATACAGTACTTTAGTGTTGGTGAACCCAGAGGAACAATAGCTTCTTAAACTAGATGTTCAGATGTTGCCAAGTGTTTATTTTTCATGCTGATATTTAGCATTAGAGGGAATTTACCTCCCAGTAAGGGTTGCAATCCCAAACAACTCAACCATGAAATGATCAGACTTTAGCAAAGCAATTAACATTTGCATCTGTTCCCTCCATACCTTGGGATTTAGTAACCGTTAATGCTGCATCTATATCATCATCACCATCATCATCATCACATCATTATTACAGTACTTTTACCAGCTTTCTTTGTTTTGCCTCTTTCTTAGACTTTAATGAAGATAGTTGAGTTACATAAGTCTAACTGTGAAGTTACATGTACACAAGTGAGTTAAGCCAGTATGATAACATATCTTTATGTTGGAATTATTGCCACGGTTAAGTAAGGCAAATGAGACTGAATTGTGTTGAATTTGTATTGGTCAGTATAGAGAACAGCACACCTACCTATCAATTAAATCCAAGTTGACCAGACAATGTTGAATTTAACTAACACAGCCATGTTGGTTGCACATTAGTCAGCTATTTCCTTATTAATCATGTTGAACACAAATCAGTTTTTGGAAATTGTTGACATAACTGGATACAATATTATATATCCTGTATTTAACCAGGTTGTTGGGAAAATACTTAATGTTCTCTTCTAATATCTTAGTAGCACATGATAACAAAGGCCCTATGCTGTGTACGTAACAGGATCCGATGTATGATAGAAGAGCGTCAGGACACACTGTTTTAGGCATATGATAGCTATGTGTCAACGATTAACATGATGATTCAGCCTCTATGGAGATAGACATATGACTGTCATGTTTATTGATTATACAGGCCTTAGCTTATCTGAGCTAAACATTGAATACTGCTTTGAACCAGTATTCTGCATCTTGTGACTGTAACACTCTCTTATGTATAAGCATGTCAAGGACACTATTCAGGGAACTAGTTTTACCATGCAGCTCTGTATGTGATGACTACTTCCATTCTTGCAAGGATAATAAATACATGTATCCTGGTATTGAAGCACTATCTTTCTAACACAGGTAAAAAGTCTCATTCAGATTAACGTCTCTTTTTCAAGAGCGACCTGGACAAGAGGACAGCATGAACAATGTTACAACGAATAAACACAAACAATACAGAGTGTTGTAAAACACAAATTAAGTGGCACATTATCCAGTCAATATGCAAATAAAATAAACTGTTATAAAGCCTAAAAAATGGCAACATTTTTAAATGACTTCCTTGAGCAAGATACTTATCCCCAAGCAGCTCCCAATGGCATGGCAAACCATGTGCGAAGGAATGTGAATAAGCAAGTGGCCCCTTGTATGGCAGCCTTTGTAATTGACTTATATTTCAATGCATTGTGAGAGATCGTAAAGACTGAAAAAGCGCTATACATGCAGACCATTAACCAGTTAAGCCCCATGCCCCCGGTACAAAACGCAACATCTTGCAAGAAACAGCATCTGAGGGCTTCTTAACATTTAACAAACTATGAATGTGTCATACCCACTTAACGGGAAGAAAGTCATCGATCAGATAATATTAACAATTGTTAGCTAAACGAAACACAAGGGTAATATCAAGCCTCTGAATTAGCCCTAAGCTAAAAGATGCTAACGCACTTAGCACAGAACTCATGGTAGAAATATTGTATTACTTATCGGATCTGCACAAACAAAACATCATATGAAAGCTGAGATTCCACAGATTCCAGAGGTATAAGTATCATCACTGTGCGACAAAACTCACCGCAGCTAAGGCAAATCCAGATAACACACAACTTAGCTTTACGGAGCCAAAACGGCCAAAACGTCTTACCTTTGCTGTTTTTCTGATCAAAAGTTGTGTTCAATGGCATTAAAATGATAAAAACGCTGCTGAAGGTTAATTCAATGTGTCTGTGTCACTTTGAAATGATTACTGATAATCCATCATAAGATTTATGTCAAAAACGGAGATTTCATATCAAGCTGAGAGCTATGAGAGCTGCAACCCAGCTTCCGGTTTTGGGCATTCTGGCTGCGCGTCACTCCATCACCAATGGGTAATGTTTAGATGGATTTTAGGAACTTCCCCTTGATTCTATTGGCTCTAACGGTTCAAAACAGGTGTCAATCATCAAAATTGACCGATGGGTTCCAGAGATATGGAAAATCCACCCAAATGAGCCCAGAAGTGTTTTGTTTTTCTAAACCTCTCTAAAAAGGTCTAGTTTCACTTGTTTTGCATCAATCTTGATACAGGGTACTTATTACATGTTATAGTTTGGATTACTAAAGCTTTTAGTCTAATATCCCATCATTCAAGGGTGGTTTTCACTATAAGCAATGGTTGTTTTTTGGACGGACACTATCATTTACATATTTTTACTATGTTCAATCTGAATTTACTTTAAAATAAAAAAAATCTATATATTGATTCTGACTTTTCTACATCCAACTCACAGGTTTACCATTGCTTTGAGAAAAAAGATTATTAATGTACACGTTTTAGCAGTGAAGATTATGGTCATTTGTTATGGGAATGTCATTTTCGAGCTTGAGATCAATACAAGCACGGCAACTGCATCAGGACAAGAAAATATGTTTTACCTGTAAAACTAACATTATGACCTTATAAACTTTCAGAGAACATGTTAGGTAACTGCTGCCTATGTGTGCATCCAGCTGACAACATAAGCAATTATCTGACTTGTGTTTGTGGCCATTTGACACATGAGTCAGTTGTTGACTCACAGACTTCGAGGCGAGTTCCCACTTAATGTGCGAGGGCTCCGGGCGGCCGTACTGTACTGTGTCATTGCAACAAGGGCTCGCTGGCAGACATTTTGAGCCCTTTATACACACTCCGTAAAGTCTGCATACATAAACGCTTTGCCTGAGGGAATTACTCACAATTCATAGCATTATGAAAACAAGGGTTTACTAGGGGAGGCCTGGAAGCATAAAACATGGTAAACAAGGAGGAGAGGCACATGGGTGTTTAGCCTTGCATATGAAATGTATACAGAGACTCTACATTTACATTAAGGATTTAAAATGGTAGTGTATACTGTATACTGTATAAACATCAAATAAGAGGAATGCAAGCATATGAGCTATATTGCATAATGTTTTACTCAAACCGTATCTTTTATTATTGCCCAAAGGTGGAGTTGTTGATTATAATACAATACACTTTCTGTCAAATTCAGCGAAAATGTCCTGTTTGTGCCTGAAAATATTCCAGGGTTCATATCCAAGTTTTATTTATTTTTATTTAGCTTAAAATGTGGTTTTCCAATAAAGCGTGAAAGCTCAAATTGTACATAACATGCTTTGGTGTTGACAAAGTAACAAAATACGTCACAGCAAAGTGTTGTACCATTCGTAGCTATACCATTTCGCCCCTTGTAGCTCCTCACTGACATTTATTAGCGTTCAGTCCTCATGGAATGTGTCAACAGGATCAGCACTAAGCAGCCGGGCAATTCATTCTGATGATACCACGGTGCATTTCACAGCCAGGTGTCCCATTTATGCAAGTCAAGGGCCATCAGCACAACTCGCTGCATCTCCTGACTCCATGGAATGCGTTTCACCTCAAATGTTTTCAGAAGTACATACGGGCTAACTATTGTTGTCATATAATGTTAAATAGTTTCCAAACGAGCGACCTCATTGGTCCATTGGGAATCTGGGAGCTGACTGCAAGCATTTGTCCAAACAGGAGCCTAGTGGCACGCCACTCAAGCACTGAATGGTTGTAAGAAATGTCCAAAAAAGCCGCTGTGGACACGTGGGTGCAGATTGGAATTCAGCCATTCAATCTGCTTTTATTAAGCCTTGTGTACAGCTGGTTGCTAACGATGCCTTATGATGAACGAGATAGTGTACTGTGGGTTGATCAGAGCTTAAAGCAGCTAGCCACAGCTTAACACATCAGTAGTACAAAACAGCAGGCAATCAAACAGAAAAACAGTTCAAGTCCAGCCTTAGACTGTCTTTAAGTAGAGCTGAGAGGAACTTTGGGTGATAATTCTCTGTGTGTTCTTCAATATAAACAACATATTACAACTTTGACATCCTTATTCAATTAGATTTTAATAAAAATACATTGAATACTTCTACTTTAGATAATTTTTCTGTAATCTACGTATGAAGGTGATTTCCATCTCTTTTTCATTTCTACAGGGGGTTACAACATCAATGATATCATGTTCTACTGGACCAGAGGAAACGAGTCTGTCAGCGGATTGGACACCCTACAGCTGGCCCAGTACACCGTAGAGGATCACTACACTTCTGTCTCAGAGGCCGTCTATGAAACTGGTAACAATGACCTTCATCTCTCAATGTCACATGTAGTGGGGTGGGGTTGGAGCCAAATGCAGGACAAATGATGAGTTAACAGAAAATATCTCTATTTTAGGTTTAATCCAGACATGGCAAGCTAAAACAAACAGAATATAACTTCACGTTGAACATGATACAACAATCAACCAAGACTAACAGAAAACCAGCACTTGAATAGAATCTGAACTAATGAGGGGATAAAGTGTAGGTGTACAGGAGGGCAGGTGGTTGCAGAGCTGATTGGGGGAAAGGTGGAACTATTAAGGCCAGTTCCGATAATCAAAAAGGTGGGAAAACACAAAAAGACAGAAAATAAAAACAGACATGACGCAGATGTAAAAAATAAAACAGCAGTAATATATATAGGTAACATATCCGATACATACCACATGTTTCTGTTGTGAAATACTGTACATTGACACACTTTTGTCCTTTTGTCCCAAGGCAACTACCCGAGGCTGGTGTTCCACTTTGAGCTGAAGAGAAGCATTCTGTACTTCATCCTGGAGACCTACGTCCCCTCCAGCCTGCTTGTTGTCCTCTCATGGGTTTCCTTCTGGATCTCCCTGTCCTCTGTTCCAGCACGCATTTGTATAGGTACGAATACAAAGACATGTTTCTTACCCTGATGTTTTCTCTTTAGTAAAATTATTTGTATGGCTACACAAAGAGGAGATATATTTTACTCTCCTTTTGTGAGCACAGTTGTTGGTTCGGATATTTAAAGGGCTGAGATGTTGAAGAGAGCATCTGTGAGATTGGTGTTTTTAAGTGAGAACATTCAAACTTAGATGTTGCCTTGAATTAAATCTGCCACTACCACAGGGGGCTTGAGAACACACCATTCTCAAACCTTAAAAAGCACACTGGATTTAAGGGACTACATTTTGGTGAGGTCAATGCTCACTTAAAAATAATGAAATTAAAAATAAGCTTTGACAGCACAGACAGAATTCCTCTTGTAATTTAATGTTGGCTTTTTTAAAGTATAGTGAGAAAGGCAGATTGGAAAAATATAACAACTGATCAAAATAAAGGTTGCTTAACAATGTTATATTCTGTGTTTCTTTGCTCCAGGTGTGACCACGGTCCTGACCATGACCACTCTGATGATGGGAGCCCGGACGTCACTGCCCAATGCCAACTGCTTCATCAAGGCCATCGATGTTTACCTGGGAATCTGCTTCAGCTTCATCTTCGGAGCGCTCATCGAGTACGCCGTGGCGCACTTCTGCAGCCTCAGTCACATGGACTCACACATCTTCATGGTGAGACCTTCATGCATACTGTTTTATAACCTGATAAAAGGGCACCCACTAAACTGAGTTTCAGGAATGCCATTAGTTCCTGCATGTGATGTGAAATAAAAACACAATATTGTGTAACGTGATGCACACGTCCCATCTGTTATACAATTGGTGCCCTCAATGGGATAAGTATCAAGTTTGGATGATAATGTTTTTAATAAGTGACAGGGAATCGCTTTGTGTTACTTTTTTTAAGACTCTAGGTTGCCAAATATTGTGTAATAACATCCATATTAGGTAATACATCCACACCAGGGTTTCCGTTAGCCGGTAATTACCTGTTTTTAGCTGGTAAAATGTAATAAAAACCGGTAAATTCAAAACCTGCCGGTCAAAATGTCCGCTAATAATTAGGGAGGCTCCGATCGATCGGCCGCCAGTCATTATCGGCCGATATTCACTCTTAATAGTTTGATCTGTGCTCTCCATAAAGGCCGATCAGGAGAGCTGGATCTGATCGATATGGACATAAACGCGAGTGAAGTATAACCGGACCCGAGAGAGAGATCAGATCAGCTGCTGCATAATCACCTGAAGCCCCGCCCACTGTTTAGCGAGCTGCATGAGAAACTGACGGGCTGTCAGGAGAGAGGGAGAGGGGAAAAGAGAGGATCCGTTTCTCCCGTGTTATTATTCAAAGTTAATGTAAACTTTTGAATAATGTACTTCATCTACTACAATTAGTTTGTTTGAATGTAATAATAATGTTGTTTGTTGTTTGTGGAATCATTTATTGAAAAATGAATCTGAATTCTTCCATCTGTTACGATTATAAACTGAAGCGATATAAAAATGACTCCCATTAACTGAGTTTTAAACATCAGCATATCCGGTCATAGTCCGGTAATTACCTGCTAACGGAAACTCTGCTACACAATTATTATTATCATTATTGAAACATGACCGGTAAGTTTCAAATTTGTCTGGTAAAATAAATTCTGTCCGGACATTTGACCGGCGAGAAAGAATCCTAGCGGAAACCCTGATCCACACAACAATAAAAACATTTTAAAATATATTATGAAATGACAGCTGTCTTTGTAAGAAACCCATTTTGGTTGCTTATTTCATAACACATGTATTATTTTATTATTTGTATTATTTATTATACGAAAAAGCAGCTCAACTGAAGGCAACTCAAGACCTGCCATGTGCATGTCCTTCCTGTGTTACTGTTCATTGTTGGAGTCATTGCTGTTGTTGTGGTCACAGTCATTGTCTTCATAATGGTGGTCATTGTCCTCCTCGTCATCAACATCATGTCATCATGAGCATTTTGGGGTAAGTTGAACAAGTTCTCTCAAATCTGAATGTAACTTATTTTGACTTCAGTTCAAATCTCATTCTCTTTTTGTCTCCCAGCATTACGGCCACCACATGCACGACCTGGACGACGAAATGAACGGCATCATCACCACCATCTCAAACCACAACAGGGCCAAGAGACGCAAGGAGGCTGCCGCGACTCAGACCCCGGCTCCCGCCTCCCTAGAACTCGTTGTTAGCCCGTCCAGCCCCTCGGGCAGCGAGCCGAAGCCCGAGGCGCCCCCCCCAGAGCCCACCCACTGGTGCCTCACTGCTCTGGCCACGGTCCGCAAAGTGCTGCGCTCCTTTACATGCTGTACCGTGGAGAACCCCCACCACATAGACAACTACTCCAGAGTCACCTTCCCCCTCTCTTTTGTCATGGTTAACCTGCTCTACTGGACATATTATCTGTACTTTTAGCATCAGCTCGAGTGCAGCCCGTTTCCCAGAGAGAGTGTTTGTAAACTATAAGTGTATTTTACTGTATGTATATGTACAGTAAGCGTTATTTAGGTGTGTTTTGAGATGAGTGTGTATTATTTCTGCATTTGGATTCATGAGCGAAGTGGAATTCTCGCACAGGTTTTCTGGGAAATGCTTATGATTACAGCTCAATTTTTAAATATTAATGTGAACTCGGATTGAGCCATTGCTTTAAATGTAATGCGGCTGGTGTTGGTTAACATAGGATAATGTAACACTGACAGGGTAAGATGTAATCAATGCTGATATACGTTGAGAGGAAAATTGCTTGCAATGGAAAACATGGCAGTCTACATCTTTTTTTTCTGTAGTATGATTTATTTTACGCAAATCTCCGTGCAGGTAGTTACTGTCAGACATGGAGAGGATGGAGCTGTAATCTAAGGCTGTATGACAGAATATGCAGAGGATGGATTAATTATTTGTACAATGTCATCTTCCATTTCTGCCTGCAGATGTACCATTTAGATGGAAATAGATAAATTAATGGATGAGAGAAGAGTGATTAAAAAGAAATACAAGCTAGAGAAATAACTCAACAGACTGTTAGTTTAACCAGGCTCTCAAGGACGGACACTTCCATTCGCTGTTGAAATCTCTCTTTGTTCTTCGTACATCTAAGAGTTATTTTTAGTTCCCTAAGCAGTGCTATCTCTCTCTGCCTGCATTTATTTGTTTCATTGACACTATAAATGTAGTGGCCTTTGATCCCTTCAGTTGTGTGAGCGTGAACAGTATTAGTACACGTGTCCTCCCGAATCTGTCCTGCAGTTTCACAAGGAAGGGAATGAAACCACAATATGTTGAACAACAAAATGCACGTAATCAATATATAACCATATTAATTAATATATTAGTATGGTTCATTTATTTAACACATTCTGAAATAGTTTTTTAACTTCAACTATATATCATACCCTTTATTTTATTATTTTTATTTTTTAAAACCTACTTTTGTTATAATGACATTTACACAAACAACACATCTTTTCATATTTTTTTTTAACTCTAAGCCTCAGGCAAGATTCACGTGTCATCACAGAATTTTGACAAGCTAGCGACTAGACAAAGCTTTAGACAAAACAAAGCTAAAGTAATTGATATAACTGTGCAAAGAGTTGGAGATGACCTATCCTACTATTTGGCTTGACATGGCTATAATATGTTACCTATCAAGCTAGCTAGCTAGCTAGGAAAATGTTGTTAGCTTGGCTTGTTTACTTTTTGAGGAGCCAGTGTTAGCTAGCTTGCTAAATCAAGTTTACATTTGTTTTTATTTATAATTTTTACAATTGAGAGAACCCCTTGCAACCTTATTTCACAAACAATATGGGGAAGCGAAAAAACATGTAGCATTGTTTGTTCATGTAGCATTACATACAGTAGAACAACAAAATGCCAATTTCTTGACTTGCAAATAGATGTTAACAAAAATTAACAAACATCATATTATGTAGGCTATGTCATGTAACCTTCAAAGGAGATTAACAACTTATTAGTCTCTCGGTTTTCTGTACATATATTTTCGGGAAAGAAGGCCCTATTAATAATGTAAAATGTGTTAGTTTTTAATTTTTTAATTAATGTTTGTTTATTCATATGATTGTGCATATCGTTATGTTTTATTTAACAATTTACTCCTAACACTCTCCATACCAATTGGTCAGGTGTTAAAATTGTGGATATATACACCTCGAAAGACAGGTAGTGATTCATGTAGCATGGTCTGCTGGTAGTGTTTCTCAGTGTGCTTTTGTAAAATATAAAGCAGTAGTCAGAACCTGAGGTGATAGACTTTGTAGAATGATTTGAATACGAATGAAATTGCCAAAATATTTCAATACGATGTCATCATCTGAGCATTATCCAAATGGAGAACAGCCTGGATATGCTATGCTTGAGGTATCGGTTCTCTGCTCAGTTTTCTATGCCGTCATATTTCACTGTGCGAGTTTTGAGTCTTTTAGTTCAGGCGATACAGTATGTTTGCAACAAATGGCATGAACCAAAGAGCCAAAGATTACAATCCAGAGGATTAATTACTCATAACATAAAAACACATTTAATCAAACTTTATAACAGCTCCTCGGAGCATCTTTGTTTCCCTTTAGTTCCTTACCTAGGAGATCTTGAAGAGAATTTTCAAATGTTAATCATGTTCGTTATTGATAGGATAACTTTGAAATAGCATGCAGTCAATAAGCAGATAAACATGACACTTTACTTTCAGATAGAAACAGGATTCAGTTTAACAACAGAGATGCATGATTATGTATTGATGTATTCAATTATTACTGTGACTGTGTGACATACACTCACTCATTCCATTTCAATTTTAACAACATTCGATATGTATTGAACATAATCTAAATTGGTAATATCTATTGACGTCATTGTCATGGTCTTTAAAAACGTTTATATGTTCCTCTTTATCTGCATTGCTTCATCAACTACAAACAATTTAACGGCTTTCCTTGCCTGATGAAAATAGAAAAGTGGAATTTATGTTTGTTCTTACTGCATGGTTTTCAAGTGCAACTTTTTGTTTATTCTGCTTTGCTGAATTTCTTTTTAGTTACATATGATGGAGAAGACTCATCATAAAATACTCAGTTGAGGCTATTGAGGGGACCAGATCGGTAATAAAGCCAAAGGTGGACACACAAGTGCAGGACGTTCAAACTCCTGTTCTCATTTTTTGTTATTTGAATCTAATAGAAATGATCAGTTGCACTGTTCATTGCTTTTGAGCTGCTCTGTGGAAGTCAGTGAGCACTGACCCATTAAAAAGGTTCATGTAAGAAGACCAAGACGGTCAGGTTTTATACATCATGCCTGCAGTTGTAGTTTTTATAGCCATCTTCTCAGTGAACGGTACAAGAAGTGAATGCCAATATGGAGCCAAAGAATCCTAAGAGCAACCACATAGAACATTGTGTTCACTCTGTGTTGAAGTCCATACACAAAGCTCAAGAGAAGCAATTGTCCGATGGCTCCACGGTCGCTACTGTATTATCAGTGCTGCTTTGCTCGGACTGATCAGCATTAAGATGGTAACAAAAACCTAAGGAAGATGAGAGTACTTCAGAATGTTAGCTATGAAACGGAACATTATGGCATATGGGACTTTTTGAAACAGAAAAATGGCTACCCTTGGACTGCCCTTACTTTCCTGTTGTGTTGAGTGTCTAATTAGCGCCTCTAGGTGACGTTGGCTTCCAACCTCACAATTCCTGGGATATCTTCATGTGAAATGTATTTATATACTATGCTAATATAGGCATCGGTTTGCTTAACATGTTGTAAATAAATAGTAACACTGTGCATGTTTATTCGATGTATGAATATGAATGATAGCAATAAAAGAGGTTTAACGTGTGTATTGGTTGCATTGGTTTATAAAGAACGCATCATTTAACAGAGTTGTTTCTATATCCGCAATATCTAAATTAGAAGTGCAGTGGGTTGGACTTGCTAGCCTACAGAAATGCAAATGTATTTTTCTGGGTTCCAGATCATAGGGCCGAGAGGTCCCAGCGGGAGTGTTGGAGAATGTTAGGATTAATTTCCTGCAGCTCCATTTGCTCTGACTCAGCATAATTCAGAGTGAGAGGATGATCATCATGCAGTGCATATCCACACATTAGAACTTTTGGAAAATATACACTTTATGGGTGTATATCCATGTACAAGGCAGATTTGCTCTTCAGCAGTAGAAGCAAAGATGGCTGATTTTTAACTCAAAGTACCAGTTTTTTTTTCTTTTTCATCAACAACTTAGCAACTTTGCAATCCATTCAGCGCATGAAACATAAGTGTGCATTTGTCCAATTGTATTAAACCCACCATACTGAAAAACAAAACAAAACAGTTATAGGACTAATATAATCAGAAAATAAACAATATAATTAAGAGTAGAAATATCACTAAAATAAATATGTATGTTACTATATCTATGTACAATGAATAAATAACAGTACTGACAAATTACTCAAAAAACAATAATAAACCATACAAATAATACATATTTTTAAACACACATTAGCAAAAATAGATCTTAACAAAAACCAAATTCACATAGTGATGTAAAAGGTTGAGGTATGTATGGATATATGCTAGAAATGGTTGCCATATATTATATAATGTACCTGTGGAACCACCCAAAGTATTGTTTAATTTCTCCATGTGTAGAAATGTAACCCACAGGACCTTGATGGAGAGGCCTCCTGCTTCCACTTCATTAGTATAATTTGCTGCAGTATGTAATTTAAAACCTGGTCTCACCAAAATACGTGAAATGAACACGACTCCTTAACACCGCATTACGTGGTGGAGACACGGAATCGGCTAAATGACGTGTCGGCACCACGGAAACAACCCCAATGTAAAGTGAATGAGGATCCTTTTTCGTGGTGGATACACCAGGGTTCAGGGACGCGGGAAGGGGGGGTGCTGAGGGGGCTGCAGCACCCCCATCTGTTGGCAGAGAGTTGTAACTGCAATGCCAAAAAGTTCACTAAACAAATCAATACAAAAGTTTTATTTTTAGTTACTATTTTTGAGTTAGCATTTTAGTGTCAACAGGCTATAAATAATATAGATAATGCGGTGTGCTTCTTCTGTTGCTCTGCTATAGAAAATAAGCTTGTCAGTGCAGACAAGTACAGGGATGGGAGTTTTGTGAAAGGAGGATTTAAGAACTGGCGAAAGGCAGGAGAAACATTTAGGGAGCATGAGAAGTCCCATCTGTAAGGGAAACTTCTGCAGCAATGGAGAGTCAGGACTCAGAGACACACAAGGATAGTTGGAGCTTTGATTAACTCTCTTATCTTTCTTACAGTGCAGACGCTTTTCTGCTTGCTTTTGCCTCTGCTTACTTTTTATGCTGATTTTCCTATTCTTATTCTCTGAAAACTTCGAGCAGCGGCTCCTGGACATTAACTTATCACTGGGACAGTTCATCTTCGTAAATAGACGGAGGGTTTCAGCCATATTTCAACATGTTTACGACGACCTCAGTCTTACAGTAGCGTGGCCTAGCAACAGCTAAAGCCTGGTAGGCTACTGCATGCTATTTAGCTTAAGCTAGTTGGTAGCAAAATGCCTCCGTTCTCTACAGATGACTTCCACAAACTTATACAGAAGATGGCTGTGTTGGAAATGAAAATGCAACGGTTGGAAGTTAACGTGGAAGTGAATGGACTATGTCGTGGGAATGACACCACTTTACCAGTGTTGCAAAATAATGGAAAAGGGTGTGCTAACTCACAGCTAGTTAGCAGCTACAAGGATTCCAGGAACAGGAGGGCTGTGTACCGGGTAATAAATCTACAAGTGGTAGTCCTCCCTGGAACTCTCTGGGTGCAAAGCCTAAGAGTAAATCATTTCCATGGGATTTGGGAGGACGGATAACAGGCAGAGCCCAGAGCTCTGAAATCTGTGATGCGACCGGCTGGCCTGCATTGTTATCACCCAGGAAGAGCGTCTCTTCAACCCCTAAACAGCCGTGGACAGCTGCTAAAGGGAGAATTACAAACAATCCTCCTAAACCACCAAGTGTGCCAATCCAGAACAGATACGCTCCGCTGACCGAGAGCCGGAGATCTCTTTCTGATGTCCTGGATAACCCGTCCTCTTCACACAGCAGGGTAAGGACCAATAGCTACTCCAAAAGTAAAAGGCTAGAGGGAAAGCTAACGACTGGGCCTGAAACTCTGATTGTGGGTGACTCTGCTGTAAGAGATGTAAAAGGTCTGTGTAGTAAGAACAACACCAAAGTACTCTGTTTTCCCAAGGATGTGGTCTCTGACTTGGTTGAGAAGATCCTGCATATTGGGGCTGAACATCCGACTGTGAAGAATGTGGTACTACATATTGGAATAAATGATGTTGTGAAACAAGAGTCAGAAGTGCTGAAAAAAGACTTTACATTTCTGTTGGAAACTGTCAGCTCTCTAAATGCAGAGGTGTTCATCAGTGGCCCTCTACCGCCAGTCAGAAGAGGAGTGGAGAGATTCAGCAGATTGTTTGCACTGAAAACCTGGCTTTCAACTGTCTGTACTGACCATTCTGTCCATTTTATTGACCATTTTAACTTTTTCTGGGATCGCAGACATATTTTCAAGGCAAATGGAGTTTGCCTGAACAAGTCAGGAGTGAAATTGTTTATCTCTAACATATTCAACTGCCTGCGTCATCAATCTGTTCCCTCTGCCAAGGACAAGCGGCAAGAGGAATCAAAACAGGAGAAAGACACAACACATCGCGCAGAAAACCCTGAAGAAGTATCACTGCACCCGCCTGAGGAATGTTCTGATTATGGGAGACCTATGACACAAATGGAGGAGTCTCCACTGCCCGTCACCCTCCCTGTCAACGCCCTTGAGGATACTCTTCATTCATCCCCCAGCTCTCTCTACTCTCCGCTCACCCTATCACCCTCGCCCACCCCCCTGGAGTTCGATGACCGCATGAAGGCAACACGCAGGGTTGGCAGCATGTCCTTTACCCCCGCCCCTCAACGACGCCCACCAAAATCACCGAAGCAGAGATGCGCACCATCTCCCCCGGCTTCATCACCATGCCTACCACAATCATCCAAACCACAACAATACAAGGAAGATGGAAGCAGATTTCCAAACCCCCCTTTCTACAGTGTAGCCCTCACCCTGCCCTCCTATGATGAGAGGAGCAGGGTGGTGGGTCCTCCCTCCCCTTCAAAGCCTGATAGGGATGTGTGCAAAACGCTGCAAACTGATATCTGCTGGGTCCAGGCTCAAGGGCGTATGGCACTCAACTCTTTCCAGGACATGCCGGGACCCTGCTTGCCTGTAGCTTTGCCGATATCTGTGTTGATAGGTAATAGATTAAGAGCGGTGAATCATCTTAGATACAGGAAGCGCTCAAACGTTTGTGTGAGTTTATCTAATTTAGAAGTGATTCCATGTCAGCCACAGCTTGTTACAAAAAACCTGACTGATAGTGTGTTTAATGAACTTAAACTAGCTTTATTAAATGTCAGGTTTTTGGCAGGAAAAATGTTTGATGATTTTATCACTGAGCACAATCTCGATTTTATGTTTTTAACAGAAACTTGGATTGAACAAAATAACAGTGCAGCTGTTCTTATCGAATCAACCCCTCCCAACTTTAGTTTTTTGAGTCAGGAAAGAATGCATAAGAAAGGGGGTGGAGTTGCTATTCTGTTCAATGATTCCATTCAATGCAGGAAGACATCTTATGGGAACTTTGCTTCTTTTGAATATGTGGCCCTTAAAGCACCCAGATATTGTTCTAAACTGTATTAAAGTAAACAGGTATTATCTTGAACTGTATTGAAGTGAACATGTATTAGTTGGGACTGTTTAAAGTAATCCTATATATCTAAACCTTCTTACTTACACTCCATGACCCAGAGACCCTGACACACACACATACACCCCCTCCTGTCTTCATGCAGCACACACACATAAACTCCTCAACCCAGATATCAGCAACACACACACATATGCCTCTGCTTATCAGCATGCACACACACACACACACACACACACACATACACTTTCCCTCACTAACACACACACATGTTCTTTGTTCAAGGTTCCTTGCTGGGAATAATCTGAAGCACCAATATTTCTGTGTACAATGTTTGATTGTTTTAAAAGAATAGTTGGTGTGAAATCTTCCCTGGGAAATTAAAGGAGTTAACCCAGGTATAAGATACAAAGTGATTCTGACCTTGTATAGTTCCGATGCTGTCACGCTCTGTTCAGAAGAAAGATACTTTTTCCCAGAACTCTAATTCGCTTAGGAGTAAAATGGGACGGAAGAGCCGACACACATCTCCGCCCCAAATATGTCCATATATACTGTTGTTTCTTCATGCAAAATGCCCCCTGTTTCTGACTGGCTGGTCCCGATATCTGTATCGCACGGCAGTAGAGCGGGGAGCCCGGAGTGTTCTGTTTCAGGGCACTCTGTATTTCGTATTGTGTTTTTTACTGTATTAAAATCAGATTATTGTTATAACTTTTATGCCGGTGTGTTGAACTCCCTCTTTTATCAATCTGACCAGGCTCATCTAACGGACGGCGCGGAGCACAGGTGGGCTTTAAGCCACAGATATTGTGTTTGCTCCTACACCCTTCAGCTGAAATGCTCCTCTCGAGCTCTGTTCCTAAATATCTATAGACCACCCAAATACTGTGCAAGCTTTTTTGATGATTTTACCGAACTGCTGTCTATAGTGTGTATTGACTTTGACCGTCTAGTCATTGTTGGTGATTTTAACATCCATGTTGACAACCCCCAGGACAGAGGGGCAAAATAACTGTTTTGTGTTCTTGATAGCTATGGACTGACTCAGCATGTGACGGAGC